GCAGTTAGGTTGATCCTTCTACTACGTTGTATTTTTAGTACTACCATTCATGAAGTATTTTCCATATGGTCACTTTTGTTTTTATTTTGGCAGTGCTAGAGATTCAGTTTAGGGCTTTGTATATGCTAGGCAGGCATCCTACCACTGAGCAACATCCCCAGCGCTGCCTTTTTCTTTTTTGGTACCGGGGATCGAACTCAGGACCTTGGGCTTGCGAGGCAGGCAGCAGAATCACTGAGCTAAATACCCAGCCCCTTTTATTTTTATTTTGAGACAAAGTCTCACCAAACTGCCCAAGCTGCCCTCAAATTTGTGATCTTCTTGCCTCAACCTCCAGAGCAGCTGGAATTATAGGGGTGTGCCACCATGCCCTCCAGAAAAAATATTTCAGCATCAAACATAGCAGAAGAAAATAAACTTGAGGGAGATAGTCCTATAAAATAAAAAATTTTTAAATCTTTTTCCGAACTTTGACTTCTCTCTGCAGACTAGTGGGAACATTGTTGCAGATGTAGTGGGGAGACCATTGAGCTGGACTTCAGATTTGTGTTGAGTTTTTATTTTTGTTTTTGGTACCAGGAATGGAACTCAGGACCTAGTGAGGCAGGCATGGTGCCACTGAGCTAAATCCCCGGCCTGTGTTGAGATTTTAAATTTTCCAGAGTGGCATCAGTAACCAGGTTGGCATCAGTTTGGCTGGATCTATTTTGCTATTCTCCATCTGTCCTTGCCGATATGAATCTAAACAGTCACTTAGGAGTAGCATGTGTCCCTCTTTGCCCTCGCAGCTCAGGATGGAGCAGCTCCAGCTCTCAGGAAACCCAGTGCTGGCTTAAATCTATGTAAGTGCTAAAATCTAATTGGGTCTCCACCTTGCCGTCCGGTTTAGGACTGTTCTCTCAAGGTGCCGGGAAGGCTTTAAGATCTGTTAGACATGGGACAGACAGGTGGGGCTGTGCTTGGTTCATTTTCAAACATTTGCCAATCTACGCCGGCTAATGTGGGATGCTTTTTTCCAGCAGCAAGTGCTGTGAGTCTCATTGTAATTCAGGAGAGGTCAGATAGATGTCCATTGCCCCACAGGCATACGTTTTTGTGGTTTTAAACCTCTAAGTCTGCATGCTGTGGGTGGGCTGATTTCAAGAACAAAAAGAAACCCAATCTCTGCGTGTTAGAACATCCCAGCCCACGTGGAAATCAAGTTTAAAATCCATATGCTTCACTTACCCCTCCTTCCTGCCACTTCAGAGAGGCTGCTCTCACTGGTGCCCAGGTTTGAGTCATAACCATGATTACAGGAACAGTGTTTGCATACTGTTAGGTTGGTGGAGAACAGCGGAACCTTGCCTGTAAGGTGGCTTCGGTGGCCTTCTTGCCAGCATTGCTACTCCCTAAAAATCTCTTAGAAAGGAAGTTTCTACTCACTGAGGGGACTCTCGGGTGAGTTCATGAGATGGAGTCCCTAGTATTCAAGGCCAGCGGAGCTGAATTGGGTGACAGATCTGTGCTCTCATGGAGGACAACTGAGGCTAGTTTTGTTGCTCTGCAAAGGAAGAACAGTTCCGGTTTTTAAACATTGGTTTTTAGTCTTCCAGAATCTGGAGGCATTGCCATCATGGCCTGGTCTAGAGGAGACCTTGGGGATGAAAGGGCCACAGGCAGGTGGGGTGTGATGGCCCAAGCCAACCAGTCAGAGCCCCGTGGGTCAGCTCTAGGTCCCCTGCTGGGCCTGTGTGCTGGAGCCTAGGATGGAGTAAGGCTGCAGCTGGTGCCCAGGCACTCACAGACCTCACTTTCAGTGGTGCGGGCAGCAGACACGAACCAGGGACAGGATTATTGTATGAAGACAGTTGTCCTGGTATGTGCTGTCCTGGAGTGACTTAGGGTGGGAGGATTGTTGACCTGGTGAATACTATCTTATTCCCATGGGTGGAAAGATGGCTTCCCTTGGTGTGTCAGATGGAATTTAGAGGTCTTTAACAATTTTCAGAGTAGAGCGTACTAAGTTCTGTTATCTTTACAAACTCATGGGTTTATATTATGAAAATATTCAGAAATATCACATCAGTTTACAGTAAGCACCTGCCTGGACACACAATCTAGGTTATGCCATTGGCATTTGGTGCCGTTCATCTCTCAGTCAATTTAGATACCATTTGCTCTTAAAGACAGGGTCTCTCCATGTAGCCCAGGCTGCCCTCAAACTCTTTGATTGTACTGCCTCTGCTTTCCAAGTTACAAATGTGTGCGACCACACCTGGCAGTCACTTTAATTTTTTTTTTTTCAGTCACTTTAATTTTTGTGATGCATTTGAAGTTAAGTAGCTGAAAGTTAGTCTTCCTCTGCATGTTAAGTAAAGTTCAGTATTTATTTAGTTTTTTCTTTTGAAATAAAGCACAGAGTGTAAGTGTGCTTATCAGGGAATTTTGACTGCTATATGTACTCAAGCCCCGTGACCTAAAAACCCAAGGTGAGGGCCAGGGATTTAGCTCAGTGGTTCCTCCGTCTGCTCCACAAGTGCAAGGACCTAAGTTCAATCCCGAGTAACAACAACAACAAAAAAAACCCAAGGTGAGCCTGTCCCTTCCCAGATGAGCCCTGCCACCATCTCCATTGGAATTGGAATCCACCATTTGGAATTTTTCCAACATTCATTGGTTTCGACATCCTAGACCTTCATTATAGGCAGAAGCACTACTCCTTCTGGATCTTAGTTGTCCTACACAGAGGCAGTGGAGCCCTTGCTTTAGGTGGCACTTCTACCTTCTCTGGGAGCTTGCACTCGACCACATCCAGCATTTCTGTGCCTTCTGACACTGCAGCGTGGCCCTGGCCCACCTGGTACATTTCCTGTGCCAGGCACCAGTCAACCCCTTCTTCAGGAAGCTCATTTTAGACATTTGGTCATAAGGCCCTTTAATAAGAAGGTCTTTGCACCCTGGAGCCTTGTTGTAGAGGCTGTGTGTCTGGTCTTTGTAGTGGAGGCAGGCATTGAGACTGGAGTGTGAAGTTTGCTGGACTTGGTGGGAGGGATGGAGCTTCTCTTTTTTGCCCAGAGAACAGGGACCAGTCTGCCTTGTCTGTCACTGTCCTAGCCTCTGGCCCAGTGCCTGGCATGGGATATATGTATTTGCTAAATTCTTGAATGAATGAATGAATGGCAGCCATCATGCCAGATTGATGAGACTGCAGGATAGAAGGACTTGAAGTGTCCATCCACTACAACTGACTCCTTACCATGTACCTCAGACAAGGTTCCATGTACCTTGTCATAAAACAGGATGTGGTTATTTTTTTTAGTTTACCTGCCATGGCTGTTGGTAAGTGTATAACCTTACTGTGCATTAAAAACGAAATTGTCAAGTTGGGCGCAGTGTCACAAGCAAGCCCCTGGGCAACTTAGCAAAACTCTGTCTCAAACTAAAGTTAAAAAAAATGGGTTGAGGATGTAGCTTGATAGTGGAGTATCTGGAGTTCAGCCCCCCCATATTCCAGAAAACTGTCGTGGAAACTGGTCATGGGGCATGCATCTGTAATCCCAGCACTCAGGAGGCTGAGGCAAGAGGATCACCATGAGTTCTAGGCCAGCCTGGGCTACATAGTGAGTTCAGCCTGAACTACACAGTGAACAGAAAAGCTGTCGTGGAACTTTTCAGACATGTACAAATAGATTTCAATGTATTCGTCTCCCAGCTTCAACAACTGTTAGTGTTTTGGATTCTTATTTCATCCTTCTACCCCACCCCCATCCCCAGAATATTTTAGAGCAAATACCAGGCTTGTAGTTTCGGCCAGAACGTATCTTAAGTTTGCATCAGACACAGCCACCACATCATTTATGTCTACCTGGACAGTAGTTCCTTAATTAGGGTACAGGTGAGGATGCACATTGCTCATTAGCCTCTAGAAGCCTTTTGGTACCATTTTGAGGGTTCTGAAATTTGTGTGGCATGCTTTAGGTAGATTAGGTCATTTAATTTGCACAGTCCTTTGGCAGAGGGTAGAGGGCTGTTTCCATTTTGCAGGTGTAGGAAGGAAAGTCCATGGAAACTGTTGAAGACCACACAGCTTGTGGCTGAGCATGCACTAGGTGACTATGCTGGTGGTGGCTCAGCTCTCCAAGGTTACATCTGCCTGGTAACTTTTTAGAAAGTTACTGGGTTTTTTTCCACAGAAGCCTTTTTGGGCCCTGTCTCAAGGCACTGAGCTCCTGCCTCTCTTTTTCTTTTTTTGTTTCTTTTTTATTTTTGGGTATCAGGGATCGAACTTAGGACCTTGTGCTTGCAAGGCAGGCATGGTGTCACTGAGCTCATCCCTGGCTCTTGCCTCTCTTTTCTTTCTCCAGGCACCAAGGGGTTTTTTTTGGTGGTCTTGTTTTTATTCTGTTTTTGCAGTTTTTATTCTTTTTTTTGAACACAGGTCCCTTACACTGAGCTACATCCTCAGTCAGCACTTGACTTATTTACTTGTAAGAGTTGAGATAAGGGGCCGGGGATTTAGCTCAGTGGCACCCCACCTGCCTTGAAAGTGCAAGGTCCTGAGTTCAATCCCCAGTACCAAAAAAAAGGAGTTGAGACAGGTTCTAAGTTTTTGCAGGTGAGACTGGAATTTGTGATCCTCCTGCCTCAGCCTCCTAAGTGCTCGGATTACAAATGTGCATCATTGTGCCCTGCTCAAACACCAAAATTTTCAGGAACATTTCTGCCTATAGCATTTTTGGGACATTTGTTAATATTTTTTGTTTTGTTTTAACCTTTCCAACATTCCTGTTGTCTTGAACCGCTGGTGGTACATGCATGACTGTCCCCGTGGGAGGCTTGAGTGGACTTGTCCCATGCTTGTACCACCAGTGGTTCAGAGCTGCCTGACAGTGAGACATATGAATTACAGCCCCGTTGTGAATGTGTTAAGCCTTTAAAGATGAAATCAACCAGGTGAAGCTGCTAGGGGATATTTCCCAACACTTTTCAAATCTTAAATTTTTTTCTTCTTTGGCCAGGCATGGTGACACATGCCTGTAACCCCAGCACGTGGGAGGCTGAGGCAGAAGGATCACTGCAAGTTCGAAGCCAGCCTGGATTACACAGTGAGTTCAAGGCCAGCCTGAACTTCATAGCAAGACGCTGTCCTCCCCCACCCCCAAATTAATCCTCTTTGGAGTGGAATGGATTCTTCAGTCTTGACAGGATTATTCCCAAATTGCAAAAATTCTCCATATTTTTCTCTCCTTGTGAATCTTGGCTGCCACAGTCAGAAAGTGCAAGGACATTGATAGTTTTTTCTTACATCTGTAGTGGAAACCTTAGCAGCAGAGAGTAACTGCCCCAGGTCTGTCAAATGCATAATTTTTGATGGTTTTTAAATTTGTTTATTTTTGGGGGGTGGGGGAGACAAGTTTTGCTCTGTAGTTCAGGCTGGCCTTGAACTCACTAGCCCGGGCTGGCCTCAAACTCATGATGATGGTCCTGCCTCAGCCTCCTGAGTGCTGGGATGACAGGCATGTGCCACCACACCTGGGGTTTTTTGTTGTTGTTCTGTTTTGTTTTTTGGTGCTGAGGATTGGATTTAGTGCCTAATACATAATACTAAGTACTGTATGGTTTTAAATGCAAGCTATACCTGTCATTCTGTTTTATATTTACAGAAATTGGTAGGCTACCCAGACATGGTGTAAATCCAGTATTTGTGAGACTGAGGCAGGAGAATGGCAAGTTTCAGGCCAGTCTGTGCTTTGCAGTAAGACCCTGTTTAAAAAACAAACCAAAAAAATAGGGCTGTTGATTTAGCTCAGTGGTTCCGCTGCCTGCCTTGCAAGTGCAAGGTCCTGAGTTCGATCCCTGGTACCCAAAAAAACAGGGAAAAAAGGAGAAAAGGAAGAAGAAAGTAAAAACCAGCTGAGTGTGGTCATGAAGTCAGAGGTGGCATCTAGAAAGCACTGTTTCCATTTTAATAGAATTTATAATTAGGGCTGTTCAGTGCCTCGTGTATCCTGCTGTGTCGACTGGCCCCTTGGTAAGGATGCTAAAATGAACCTGTGTATAAAATACTTGGAACTAAAAAGATTTTCTGGTCTTGTAGATAGTTGAAGTATTGGTAACAACAAGGAAATCTGTCACAGTTTGAAAAGCTAAGCAAAAGTTTGATTTCCAGACACTACAGAGAAAAGTGAAAATGGTAAGTTGTTTTCTTTGATCACAGATAACTATTTCTTCATTAACGTACAAAGATGTTTATAGCAGTTCCCCAAAGCATTTGATTCTGTGATCATTTTCTATTGGAGTTTGTGAATTATAAAGTAATGTGTATCTTAGTAATTGGAATGCAGTAGTCCCTCCTTATCCGTGTTTTCGCTTCCCGCGGTTTCAGTTACTTGCGGTCCACCGCAGTCTGGAAATATTAAGTGGAAATTCCAGAAATAAGCAATTGATAAATTGTAAATTGCGCCCGATCCCCATGCCTGCGTCATTCACCTCACTTCATCTCATCACGTAGGCATTGTACCATCACCACTTCACCACGAGAGGAAGAAGGGTGAGTACCTGCACTAAGATATTTTGAGAGACCACATCCACGTGGACTTTATTCAGACACTGTTATAATTGCTTTGTTACTAGTAATTCTTAACTTCATACTTGCCTCATTTAGATTAAACTACATACATGTGTATGTTGATGAAAGGCATAGTAGATTCTGGGTTCAGCACTGTCTGCGGTTTCAGGCATCCGCTGGGGTCTTGGAGTGTATCCCTGCGCATAAGGGGGGACTACTGTGGTGTAGCGATAGCTGAGATGCCCCGTCCCTCACCTGCCTGGAGGAAAGAACAGTTGGCTTGTCTAGTTTCTCAGCCCTTCCTTCAGTTGTGTTCATGTAGTCTTACTTCACATGAAGGATAGAGAGAATAATTTAATTTGGGCTGAGCATCCTAAGTAATGAGGAGTGGGTTGCCTGGTGTCTTGGCCTCATTTTTAGCTTAGTTTTCACGTTTCCAGCGTCCAATGCGGATTTTTGTGAATGATGATCGCCACGTGATGGCAAAGCATTCTTCGGTGTATCCAACACAAGAGGAACTGGAGGCAGTGCAGAACATGGTATCCCACACCGAGAGGGCTCTCAAAGCTGTGTCTGACTGGATCGACGAGCAAGAAAAAGGCAACAGCGAGCAGGCCGAGTCTGACAACATGGATGTGCCCGCGGATGATGAGAGCAAAGAAGGGGCCGGGTAGGTTCGCAGCATTATGCTCAGCATCAGTTTCCTAAGAAGCGCCGCCTAGCTGGCTTCTGGGTACACCAACTCCCTACTGAGCCAGCCTGTGTGTGTCCTGCAGGGAACAGAAGGCAGAACACATGACCAGGACCCTGCGGGGCGTGATGCGGGTTGGCCTGGTGGCAAAGGGCCTTCTGCTGAAGGGGGACTTGGATCTAGAGCTGGTGCTGCTATGTAAGGAGAAGCCCACAACTGCCCTCCTGGACAAGGTGGCTGACAACCTGGCCATCCAGCTTGCTGTGAGTGGACTGGGCAGTGGTGGGGATGGGAGTGGGGGAGAGAAATTGTGGAGGACGTGAGGCAGAGGAAGAAGGGACCAGCGTGTGTCTGTGTACCAAGAAGCAGGCTCCCCCTTGAATCTGCTGTGGGGATACCTTTCAATAAGGGATAAGCAAGCGCTCGCTTCGGCAGCATACACTAAAACTGGAACGGTACAGAGAAGATTAGCATGGCCCCTGAGCAAGGAGGACACGCAGATTTGTTCATTGTTTTGTTGTTGTTATTGTGGGGATTGAACTTGGGACCTTGTGTTTGTGAGGCAGGTGGCGGAACCACTGAGCTAAATCTCCTGCCCAGCCGTTCGTATTTTTGCCTCCTCTTTTTCCTAATCTTGACTGGCAGGAAAACTGAGGCTCTGATTTAAAAAAAAAAATGATGTGATACCGTAAACCCACTGATGGTCTGGGGAAGTCACCCAGACATATCAACAGCTGTGAGGACCCCATGCCTGCCATGTAGCAGGCCACACAAGACCAAGGACAGTTGAGTTGGGAATGTTAGTCTGGATCCTAAAGATGAATGGATGGTGTGAGAATTAACTCTTCCTCCTGTGCCAGACCCAGATATACATAGAACTCTTGCTTCTTCCCTCCCTCCCTGGGATTGAACCCAGGGCTTTCACACTGAGCTATGTTTGCAGCTCCCAGTTTTTTTTGTTTTGTTTTTTAGTTTGAGACGGGTCTCACTGAGTTGCTTGGGCTGATCTCAAACTTGGGATCCTCTTTCTTCAGCCTCCCAAGAGTGGTGGGATTACAGGCATGTGCCAGCACACCCAGCTCACACCATTTTCTCAAAAACCCAGTTACTTGTTCCATTATAAAAGTACTGTGTAATGGACTGTGACATTTATGGAGCACTTAACTGGTGGAGGCCCAGCCCTCCCCTGAGTATGCAGGCAGGAGGCCTGAGGCCTGGAGCTAGACAGCTGAACAGTTGGTTCCAGCCTTTGGCTGAGAGGCCAGAAGGAGTGGTAGGGCCTAACTGCACCACTGATGTGTGCTGTGCCATTGCAGATTGATCACTGGGCTTAGCTACAAAAGAGGAAATTTAAAATGATCTTAGGCCAGAGATTTAGCTCAGTGGTTCTGCCGCCTGCCTCCCAAGCACAAGGTCCCGAGTTTGATGCCTGGTACCAAAAACAAAACAAAACAAAACAAAAAAACCGCTTCCCTGTCTTTACAGGGAATGGGGAAAAAATAAGAACCAAGATACATCATGTACAGGTACAAGTACCCAATGATAAATGTAAAGTATTGTATACCTAAAATGTACCAATAAAAGAATTTAAGAGAAAAATAAAATAAAATGATCTTAAATCTTGTTCCATTGAAAAGAAAAATGTTCTCATATAAACATGTATCCTGTCATATGGGGCTGAGCATTTGTGGTTCAGGACAGAGAGCCATGCAGTATGTTAGACACTACTAAGCAACTGAAGATGATGACCTAAAATGTCTTTTAGTAGTGACTTTCAAATTTTATCCTTATCTATAAAAAGAGTCTCAAGTGCAGCAAATCGATGTAAATACTTGAAGAGTCATTCCTTTTTTTTCTTCAGCACGGGATCAAATCCAGTGCCTCTCACATGCTAATCACAAGCAGCACCACTGAGCTACACCCCCAGCCTAGGAATCATTCCATAAACATGGAAGGAGTGGGCAGGGGCTGAGGTGTTGCTCTTCGGTTGGGAGTGTGCTGGACATGGGCTTAGCAAATGCTGAGGGCCGGGGTTCCATTTCTAATTTTAAAAAACAACGGGAAAAGCAGGGCAAAGTGTGTCATCCCAAAAAGCTGAGGCATGAGCCGAGCATGGTGGTGCATGTTTGTGATTCCAGCACCTGGAGGCTGAGGCAGGAGGGTCTCTGTAAATTTGAGGTCAGTCTAGGCTACATGGTGAATTGAAGGCCAGCCTGAACTGCATAGTGCGACCCTGTTTCAAAACCAACACAACAAGAAAGCTGAGGCAGAAGGACTGCAGATTTCTACTTGTTCTGGGCAGTTTAGTGAGACTTAGTCTAGATAGGTAAGAGATGAGATGGATGGATAGACAGGCAGGAAGGCTAGAGATGTGGCTTCCGGGTGCCATTCCTAGTACCACAGAATGAAAAAGAAATCACTTCAGTGGTTCTTGACAGCCTCCTCCCCATACACACATGTGGCATGTCTGCACACAAGGGGAGGTTGGACTGCTCCCCGCACCTAGGGGTTACAGGTGGGGTGCTGTTCACATTCTGTAGTGCACAGAGCAGCCCCTGAACCAAGAAAGTTGATTGTGTTGGTGTTGAAAAAAATCCTAATTTAGGGCTGGGGACTTAGCTCAGTGGCACTGTGCCTGCCTGGCAAGGACAAGGTCTGTCCTGAGTTCAATCGCTGGTACCAAAAAAATAAAAAAATCCTAATTTACCCTGGTGTGGTGGCGCATGCCTGTCATCCCAGCACTTAGGAGGTTGAGGCAGGAGGATCTCTGCAAGTTGGAGACCAACCTGGCCTATATAGTGAGTTCAAGGGCAGCCTGAACTACATAGCGAGACTCTGTCTCAAAAAACTAAAAAAAGAAAAATTCTAATTTTTATTTTCAGTGTTTGTTCTCTAGTACGTGATGATCATAGTACTGTTTCTTTTAAAAAAATAATAAAAGCTTGAGTTTGCTGCCAAAGTAGCACAAGGAAAAACAAAGTCACACATGTGAGCCTCTTTGCAGATTTGCAGCAGTAAACACCTTTCTGTGCATCGTAGGACACAAAGTATTTCCCTGTGGGTGTCTGGGACTATGTGCTTCCATGTGCTGTCTTCCGCTCAGTGCCCACTTGTAGTGCCCCGCACAGTCTGGTGGTGTGGGCATGTTGAGTCCATTGTACAAATCATCAGCCTCAGTCTTGATTGGACTGATTTATCCAAAGTTACTGTTTTTTTTTTTTTTTTTTTTGGTACTAGGAATCGAACTCAGAATCTTGTGCTTGCGAGATCCAAAGTTACTATTAAGTGATAAAGGGAGGAATCACATGCTGGTTACCTTGTTGATTCTAAACAGTTTCTGTTTGATGAAGATGTTACTGTGTTGCTCTGCCTGGCCTCAAACTTCTGGACTGAAGCAATCCTCTTGATTCAGCCTTTCAGGTAGCTGGGGCTACTGCCTCTGAACCTGGCTTGAGTTGCAGGGTTTTTTTTTTTGTGGGGGGTGGTTTGGTCCTGGGGATTGAACTTGGGACCTTGTGCTTGAAAGGCAGGCAGTGCAACCACTGAGCTAAATCCTCAGCCCCATTTTTTTTTTAAAAGAAAAACAAAAAAAAACAGGGTCTCTAGGGCTGAGGATTTAGCTCAGTGGTGCTACCGCCTGCCTTGCAAGCACAATGTCCTGAGTTTGATCCCCATACTGAAATAAATAAATAAAAATTTAAAAAATAAAAACAAGGTCTCGCTGCACAGTTGAGGCTGGTTTTACACTCACTATGTAGCCCAGGCTGGCCTCGAACTTGAAGCAATCCTCCTGCATCAGCTTCCTGTGTGCTCAGTTGACAGGTGTGTGCCAGCATGCCCAGCTTCAGGCTCCCTTTTTTTTTTTGTATTTCAAACAAGGTCTCACTAAGTCACTAAGCTGCCCGAGCTGCACTCAAACTTGGAATCCTCCTGCCTCAGCCTCCTAGCTTACTCAAATAACTGTGTACCACTGTGCTGAGGAAGTGTTTTGAAGTTCGGTTTTCTTTTTCAGGCTGTAACAGAAGACAAGTACGAAATACTCCAGTCTGTGGATGATGCTGCAATTGTGATAAAAAATACAAAAGAGCCCCCGCTGTCTCTGACCATTCACCTAACATCCCCCGTTGTCAGAGAAGAGATGGAGAAGGTGCTAGCTGGAGGTAGGAGGCCGAGACAGGCCTGCAGGACTTTGAAACCAGGTGTTCCTTCTCTGTAAATGTGCTGTTCAGTTTTGGATTGCTTTGTGTAGGTGGCACAGGTGTAGATGTGTCCAACTTCACTCTGTGAGAATGTCTCCCAGTGACCTTGAGCATTTGGGAGTTTGACCAAATGGCATTAAAAGTTTGAGTAGCACTTTCCGTGTGGGGAGTCGCACCATTTTGTTGTTCTGAATTCTAGAATAATCTCAAATGTAAGTGGTAAAACTTGTTTCCCTCAAGCCATTTTGATGATAGCCACATAGCTCTGCAGGAGTGTCGCGTTAGAGGCCAGTCTGCGTTGCAGCAGTGCCAAGGTGTCTCGATTTGTCCTCTGCCTCTGGCACTTTCGTATCCCGGCTGTCTAAGATGCCAAGGCCTGGTGCAGTGTTGGATGGCGTTTTCATCTGGTGTGTGCTTTTCCACCCGACTTGAATGCTAATGCTATGTCCACAGTTCATCTGCCCTGGCCCAATCACATCCCTGCCGGGCAGACGACTGAACAAGACACACTTGGCCCTGCTGCAGCACACACTGACAAGGTGCCCTGTACTGTTGCCAGTCACCTCTGGCTTTTCTGATACCGACGACCGAAGCTCTTCTAGTGTATCCACTTAGGGACGCTGGACCTTTGACCAACAGGACTCTCTCTGTCACGGGCTGGGGCTAGGGCAGTCCCACCTAGTGGGCGGAGGTGGTCCCCTTGCCGCAGATGCCTTGGGATGGCTGTTGTGGGAAGCAGAGAGGGAGTTCATTTCCACTCCCCCCACCTCTTTGTCTTGTTTTGTTTTTGCTATTGAAAATTCTGGACCAGCTCTTATATGGGGAGAAAGCAAGGGAATAGTCTTGTTAGAAGATAGGATCTGCCTATCTTTCCCCTTCCCCGTGGATTATTCCTTTTAGAATTACTTCCCATTTTTGATTTTGCTTTTTGGTTTTTTTGGAGGAGGCCTCCAATTTTTTCCAATTTCCTCTCAGGGCAGAGTTCATTGCATTCTAGCTTCTCCTTCCCTGCTCAAGGGTGGAGATGAATTCAGATTCTGGGAAACTCAGCTGCCCGTTAGGAAGCTGCCACATCCCCTTTCCACCTGACAGAAACCCCTTGGTCAAACTGTGCCTTGTCTTCTTATTCCATCCATGAATAGAAACGCTATCAGTCAACGACCCCCCGGACGTTCTGGACAGGCAGAAATGCCTTGCTGCCTTGGCGTCCCTCCGACACGCCAAGTGGTTCCAGGTTTGCATTTTGTTCTTCTCTTTGTCTTTCGGTAGCGAATTCCTAAGTTTAACTTGGCTAACTGATCATTAAGGTTCTGTACCGTTGATGAGAGCTGTGCTGATCTTAGCACCTGCCGCTGTGCAGCTGCTAATGGAGTGCACCCAAAACAATTTGAAACCTCAAGGAGGCTTGTGCCAGTCCAGTGCAGGTGGGCTGCTGCTGCTTTGTGTTAAGAGTAACAGCTTCAGTACACACAATTAAGTCATTTGTGGCTGCACGCTTGGTGGCAACATACACTTAGCGTTTACACTTGGCAAAGCAGCACCATGACTTTGTGTCATTCATGTTTGGTTTGTGTCTGTGGAGCTGCCTTCGTGAAAAGTACCTGTGCTTTCTTCCTCTAGGCCAGGGCCAACGGGCTGAAGTCCTGTGTCATTGTTATCCGGGTCCTGAGGGACCTGTGTACCCGTGTGCCCACCTGGGGTCCCCTCAGAGGATGGGTAAGGCACCTTGCGGACAGCTGGGGCAGCGGGGTTGTGTGTGCAGGGGTCTCCTCCACACCGTATGGGCAGGCTGGGCCCTTTGAGCTGTGGCTGTCCCATACCGCGGGGACTGCTTGTTTGCCAGTTGCTGCAGCCCTTGCTCTGGTGGGATAAGAGTGAGACAAGGACACCGTGGGGAGGATGATGTGACCCACTGAGGAAATGTGGGCAGATGCTCTTGTACAGTCAGCAAGCTAGGGCTTGGCCGGTTCTCAACAATTTCCTGTCTCCTTACTGTCCACATTTAAGATCAGTTTGGTATCCTTAAATGTTTCATTTGAAATAGAAGTACCTACCTCATCTATATCCTCAGCATGGCCTCTTGGCCCACACAGCCTCAAAGATTTCGTGTCTGGTTCTCTGAAGAAAAACCTGTTCAAACTTATCTGTAGCTACTGGTAGAGAACTTGCCTTGCCTGTGTGCGGCCCTGGCCTCAATCCCCAAGAGCACGGCAAAAGGGAGAAGTGGCCTCCTCATGCCCCAGATGTCACCTTCAGCTTTGATGTTACTACAAGGCCGTGATTCCTGTGCCCTACCCCTCTCCCCCAGTGACAGCACCTTACCACATGGGCCATCCTCCTGCCACAGCCAGTCACTCACTATCTGTCTTGCCTTCCAGCCCCTGGAGCTCCTGTGTGAGAAGTCCATCGGCACAGCCAACAGGCCGATGGGCGCTGGCGAGGCCCTGCGGAGAGTGCTGGAGTGCCTGGCGTCCGGCATCGTGATGCCAGGTTGGGGCCTTGTGCTTTGCCAGTGGCAGGGAAACAGGGAAAGGACAGGGATCAGGCCCATGGCCCCCTCCTCGCTGGTCCACTGACTGGGTTAGGGCAGCAGCAGCTCCGTATCCCCTAGGGCGAAGCATGTGACTACCCTCTTGCACCATCATATCCAGCCCTGTGCCGGGTCCCCAGCCGAGATTCGGAGGGCGGATCCGGCTGCAGTGGTGACCCACTCCCACGTGACTTTCTTGCTCTGAGACACAAGTGGATTATTTCTGTCAAGGGCTGGACGCTGAGTGGGTCACCGAGCTCGGCGTGTTTTCCAGAGCTGGGTGTGGATGGGGCGCGGGGGGTAATGCACCTGGTTCCCTCAGCCAGCACAACTCTACTGAGATGCTAAAGATAATCCTCTGCATATCTTCCTTGTTTCCTGCCTTCAGATGGTTCTGGCATTTATGACCCTTGTGAAAAAGAAGCCACTGATGCTATTGGGCATCTAGACAGACAGCAACGGGAAGATATCACACAGAGTGCGCAGGTATAGTCGTCGCCATTGCCAACGTGAGCCCGTACCCAGTCTGCACTCACTGGCTCCAGTCCCATGACTGGGTATTCTCAGGGCAGCCCCTGGATCATAGGCTCAGGTCGGGGACTGAAGGCGAAGGCACGGTGTGATACAAGGCGTCCCAATCTGGGCTTCTTTCCCCTGGTGCCATGTGTGGTTGTCGTCTGGCCCTCGCTTGCCCAAGTGCCACATTCGCACACCAAGAGCAGCAGGGCAACTTTTGCTGTGCAGCCTGCTCTGGGGGTCCTTCCCCGCAGGCCACCACCTGGCTCCATGTGGCAACCAGTCCCCAGGTTGGGGCCTCCTGTATACCTCTCGAGGGGGGTGATCACAGGCTGGCCCTCCCCCACAGCAAGGCTGGGCCCGAGCGCTCAGGCCCTGCCCTAGCTGTTGGGGGACCCCTTGCTGATGTAGGGGAAACCATTAGCAGCTCCCCAGCTCCTGCCCTGAACCAGAAGGCATTAGTGAGCGCACATACTGTGGCCATGGGTGCAGGCAACCGAGTCAGACTCCCTTTTCCCCTTCTCCAGCATGCACTGCGGCTCGCTGCCTTTGGCCAGCTCCACAAAGTCCTGGGCATGGACCCCCTGCCTTCCAAGATGCCCAAGAAACCAAAGAACGAGAATCCAGTGGACTACATCGGTAAGTGCCCAGGCACTGGGCAGCTGGGCTCTGCAGTGTGGACAGCTGCATGTCTCAGTCATGTCCACCTGGTCTCCTTTCAGTTCAAATCCCTCCCAGCACCACCTATGCCATTACCCCCATGAAACGCCCAATGGAGGAGGACGGTGAAGAAAAGTCCCCCAGCAAGAAGAAGAAGAAGATTCAAAAGAAAGGTAATACGCCTTGCCCTAAGTGGTGATCACAAGGCCTGGTTGTGCTTTTTCTCCAGTACAAATATTCAAGTCCTGCTGGGCATGGTGGGGCATCCTGTAATCTTAGCACTCAGGAGCCTGAGGCAGCAGTAGGATGGCCTTGATTTCAGGGTCAGCCTGGGCTACACAGTGTGAGCCTGTCTCAAAAAACTTAAAAAAAAAAAAAAATTCAAACTTAAAAGTGAGTACAGGGGCCAAGGCACTGCGCCTGCCTTTCAAGCACAAGGCCTTGAGTTCTATCCCTGGTACCAAAAAAAAGAAAAAAAGTGAGTACATAGATGTGGGCATGGAACAGCAGGGGAGATGTGTATACCACCTGCATCAGACAGCAGAGTCACAGCGTTGCTCGGGCTGTGGGTGGCCAAGGCCTGTGGAACCTCAGCCCAAGCCATCTTGGTGCTCTCTTCTCAGAGGAGAAGGCTGAGCCTCCCCAGGCCATGAATGCACTGATGCGTTTGAACCAGCTGAAGCCGGGGCTGCAGTATAAGCTGGTCTCCCAGACAGGCCCTGTGCACGCCCCCATCTTCACCATGTCTGTGGAAGTGGATGGCAGCTCATTTGAGGCCTCAGGGCCCTCCAAGAAGACCGCCAAGCTGCACGTGGCTGTTAAGGTGAGTGCAGCCTGGATGCTGGCTTCCTGGTGGCAAAACCACTTGTTGAGCACCTTCAACCCTGAGGACAGCGTGCATCTCTGGGAGGGTGCAAAGCACTGGAATGGTTAGGTTTTCAAGCATTTCCAGGTCATACAGGGCAGAGAAAGAGTTGAGGGTTCTTAAGTGTGGCTGCTGCCCAGTGCTTTCTGGGGAACTAAAAGAAGACATCCAGCCACGTGGCTGAGCTTCCCCCTCCATGCATCCAGTCCAGGGTACCCAGATGGCCCTGCATGGCTGAGCCATGCCGCGCCCTTCCTCATGGCCTTCCTGTGTCTGTGGCCCTACAGGTGTTACAGGACATGGGCTTGCCGACAGGTGCTGAAGGCAGGGATTCCAGCAAGGGGGAGGACTCTGCTGAGGAAACGGAGGCAAAGCCTGCTGTGGCGGTCCCGCCCCCCGTGGTAGAAGCTGTGTCGACCCCCAGCGCCACCTTCTCCTCGGATGCCACCACTGAGGTGAGCGCATGGTGGGCACTGGAAGTGAGCACCGCGCCAGGCACCTAGCCTCGGGTCCTTCCTCTGTGTTCCTGCGAGCCAGAGAGAAGTGCAGGGGGAGGTGGCCACTGCTCACAGTGGTGCAGGCTCCCAAGGGAGCTGGCAGGGACACAGGCAGGACTGGCAGGAGCCTGGAGTTGTGGCTGAAGCCCTGTCTGAAAGCCTGTAGCTGAGTTTGTTGCTTTTCTTTTGTGCTTTCCCTGAGAACGTAAAACAGCAGGGGCCGATCCTGACTAAGCATGGCAAGAACCCGGTTATGGAACTGAATGAGAAGAGGCGAGGCCTCAAGTACGAGCTCATCTCTGAGACCGGAGGCAGCCATGACAAGCGCTTCGTCATGGAGGTGAGCCTCTTGGCTGGAGAGGTACCAGGGTGGGGTTTTTCTCCCTGGGGGCACCGTGTCAGTGCCACACCCTTCTATTCCATCCAGGTCGAGGTTGACGGACAGAAGTTCCAAGGTGCTGGTTCAAACAAGAAAGTAGCAAAGGCATATGCTGCTCTTGCTGCACTTGAAAAGCTTTTCCCTGATGCCCCTCTTGCCCTCGATGCCAACAAAAAGAAGAGAGCACCAGTTCCTGTCCGAGGCGGACCAAAATTTGCTGCCAAGGTGAGCACTGGACCCTGACCTCAACCTTTCATTCCTCGGTGTGGTGGGACTTATTGGGGGGGTGCCCTGCAAGGGTGGACTGACCCTGCTGTCTGCTTTGCTCTCTCCTCAGCCCCACAACCCGGGCTTCGGGATGGGCGGCCCCATGCACAATGAGGCGCCCCCGCCCCCCAACCTCCGAGGGCGGGGGCGAGGTGGCAGCATCCGAGGGCGAGGCCGGGGCCGAGGATTTGGGGGCGCCAACCACGGAGGCTACATGAATTCTGGTGAGAGCCATCTCTCTATTATGTGGGACCCCAGAAAGGGCAGGGCTGGGCCAGGCTACATCTTACCCAGTAACCTGCCTGCTCTCTTCCAGGCGCCGGGTACGGAAGTTATGGGTACGGCGGCAGCTCTGCGACTGCAGGCTATAGTAAGTTGTATTTCTCTGTCTCCACGTGGGCGGAAGCAGCAGCTGGTGGGGGCCTGAGTTAGAGCAGGGCGCACGGCCTCCCTGAGGCTAAGGCGCTGCCCGCACCTTTTTGCAGTGATTAGGCCAGAAGGCCCTCGAGGCCTGTCCCACAGGCGTCCTGGACTCTCAGTGCGGACACACCCACTGTGTGCCTTCCAAGTCCTTAGAAGCCAGAATTTACATTTCTCTGCTTTGAGCGGTGTGGAGCAGCAATCTCACGAATGCGCCTTTCCTGCCAGTGCACCGCTCTTGTCTTGAGAAGGAGCCTTCATTGGGGGCCACAGGAGCAGAGAAATCTAAAACATGAATTTCAAATGTGGCGCTCTGTGCCCTTTTTCAAAAGAATTCTAATTTCTTCTCTCTGCTCTGTCTCCCCCTTTTGTAGGTGACTTTTTCACAGACTGCTACGGCTATCATGATTTTGGGTCTTCCTAGAGCGTCTAAAAGTATTGCACACAAAATCAACTTTTTACTCCAATTTCCTCCAACTCCAAAACCCAAAGTGTCCGTGCTGTGTCCCTGTGCTTCACTGGGTTTCTCAACCGTGGCTTTCCACCGCAGCTTGTCTGAAACTCTTAGCCTGCAGAATTTAAGACAATGGCAGTTTTTATCGTGATTTGCCTTTGAACTTGGGTCATATTGAAGTTCACACTAAGTGGAAAACAATTTTCTCAGAGAATGTATTTTTGTGCAGACTTGCACAGAATTCTAGAGCCAGCGTTGTTCAGCATCAAGGCAAAAGCCCACCTTTGCTTTTTATGGAAAGCATTACTTTATTTAAAGAGACAGTTAATGACGCATTTTAATCTACCTTTGTCTTAATTTACAGCAGGTTTTGTATGAATTTTTAACCTTTTAACAAACTCCCAAATCTGGTTGATGCCTTTGACAGTGATGAAAATTTCACCACATCTGAATCCAGAGCAACTGACTTTCTTTTTAATTAAACAAGCATGTAAAATATTGGGAATGGGGGGAATTTGTACACTGCGCTGAGATATCTCCTCCCGCCTTTGTAATACTCTGGTGGGTTCTTGTTTGGGATGCGGTATTTTGTGGCTGGTTTAGCTAGAGAGTGAACTCTCAAAGGTATCAAAACTGTGCTTCCATTACCTGTGCGAGAAACAGACAGGCTTTAAAGGGTAGAAAACAAGAAATTTTGCAAGTCAGGATCACAGCTGCAAGTGCATGGAATCTGGATTTTTTTAAGTGGGGCTTTAAAAATACTCAAGTAGAAAGAGCCTGGCCCACCCTCAGGTTTGAGAGAGAAGAGGTGGCGTGGGCTTTGGCAGGCAGGGCCAGGCTGCTGAGCTCAGGCCACAGGCTCCAGCGGCCTTGATGCCTCTCCTCGCTTGCCTGCAAGGGCACCAGACCTGGTGGCTCCTCGCTGAGCCCGTCTGTTTGCAGGGCCCTTGGATGCTGGGGTTCAGCTTCTGCTCAGCACTCATTTTCACAGCAAAGCCTGCAACTGTGTTGACTTGCAAGATTTTGTGTTTATTCAGGCAAAAACTGGTCAAAAAACGGTTACTGTATGATTTGTTCCCCAAGGTTTGAAACATTCAGTGAAACTTCTTAAAACTGATTGCATGATGTATTTTTTTTTTAGAAAGTTATTGTTTGAGAATAATGTCTTTTTATACCAGGAAATAGTTATCCTGAATGACGTTGAAAACTTCTCCTCCTCTTTATTTTTTTTTAATCAATACATGTTAAAGTAACAAGCCCGCCGTACTTGCGTCTTCATTCATTCCTGGCTTCAGGCGGGGCAGATGGGGCGCTCAGTGCAGGACACTGGGGAAGGGCTAGGGGTGGGGTTCTCAGGGAGGGGTCCACAGGGTCTGCACTGAGCCTCGCATGTTTGCTTCCCTGCATCTCAGTGTTGTGGCTTGGGGGGGTCGCTGCCTGAAGAAAACAGACGCCTGATTGCAGACCAGTCCTGCGGACGAGTGCCTGTGCCCTTAACACCTGACACACCAGCATGAGGGACTGTGCCGTCTCCGGGGATGGGAGGCATGTGGGGCTCCCCAGTCACCCCACCCAGAAGCCTTTGGGCCCTTGGTGCTCTGTCTGGGAAGCGAGCACAGGCTGTCATCCTGCCCACCCTGGGCTCCGAGGGGCAGGTCCTCTCCTGACCATGGGCCCAGCCCCACCTGCTGTGGGAGCCCGGGCGCTCCATGCCGGGTGCCGCAGACTGGCTGGACTGGTGGGCTGTTCACAGCCTGCCTTCAGCCTAGCCTGCCCTCCTGACTCTGTAGGGTGTCCTGTTGTTCCACTGGGAACTCTGGTGGGACGGAGTGTTGACAAACCTAGCGACCGGAAGCTGTGCCCTCGGTGTAGCATTCTGGGCCTCAGGACCAGCTCGTCTGTCCTGTAGCTCAGGCTGGCCTGTGCTCCACAGCTGCTGTGCTGGGGACGAGAAAGGGCTTAGGTGCCCAGCTCTGCCCTGCCTGAGCCGTGGGTTTCTGCACAGGCAGACAGGGAGCCTCCCCCATCATTGGTCTGAGTCTTGCCTTGCTCTTCAGGAATGAGGTCGGACCCCTTGGGCGGCCTTCAGGAATGCTGCAGGGCTCTAGGGCTGCACCACAGGGGATCTGGCATGGACCAAGCCTGTGCCTGTCCAGCCCATTTCCAGCACAGAGGGAGGAGGTGGGGGTGGCTTGCTGCTTCTCAGGGGCTTTGCTTTCCTGTCACCGTTGGGGACATCTGGGTAGCCGTCAGTCCTGAATGTCATCCGCACTCGGAGCCCATCTCATTGTAATGTTGACATCTGCTGCAAAAGCTGCTGTCGCGCCACTGCTTGGCAAAGATCCCTTGTTGTCATCAGCTGATGGGTGAGTGGAGCTGAAGGCTGGGCCGGCCCGAGCCGGGTGGCCTTCTCCAGCAGAGCCCGCTCTCCTCCTGTCCCCCACTGCCTCTGGCAGCGGGCTTGCAGGTCAGCCTTCAGGGCCCACGGCTGCCACCCTCCTTCCCCACCCCCTTCCCCTTCCTCGTCCTCCGCCTGACCCGCTGCCTCCCTGTCTAGGTCAGTTCTACAGCAACGGAGGGCATTCTGGGAATGCTGGTGGTGGCGGCGGCGGGGGCGGTGGTGGCTCTTCCGGCTATGGCTCCTACTACCAAGGGGACAACTACAACTCACCGGTACCCCCAAAACACACTGGGAAGAAGCCGCCACATGGGGCCCAGCAGAAGCCATCTTACGGCTCAGGCTACCAGTCCCACCAGGGTCAGCAGCAGTCCTACAACCAGAGCCAGTACGGCAACTATGGCCCACCACAGGGCAAGCAGAAGGGCTACAACCACGGGCAAGGCAACTACTCCTACTCAAACTCGTACAGCTCGCCGGGAGGCGGGGGCGGCTCAGACTACAGCTACGAGAGCAAATTCAGTGAGTTGGCCTCTGGCGCCTAGGCCTCTGGCATGGGGCCTAGAAGAGGACTGGCTGTGTGGCTGTGGGTGGCATTGGGAGGATCCAGAGCCAGGACCCCAGTCCAGGTCTTTGGCAAACTCCTTTCCCTCGGCTTCTGCATAGATGGCTGTAGCTGTGGCCTCAGTCCTGTCCTGACGTTCTGGCTGGGCCTGGCTGGAGACTAGACTACGAGGCACCTTCCTGGGACTGCCCTAGAGGCAGTGCGGCCTCCAGCCCCTGGAAAGAGCCAAACCCTTGTCTCTGCCCTGTGCCCCCAGGCTGCACAGGCCTTGGCTGCGCTGGGGCCTTGCTGGCAGCGCAGCGTAGGTGTGTTCTCATGAAGGAAGAGCAAGCTCAGTAAGGCTGGGGATTTGAAGGAGGCTGTGCTGTGTCATGCCTGAGTAGGCCAGGAAGCACTGTGCCTGGTGACAGTGGGACGCTGTCATAGCTCTCGAGAGACCCTGAAGAGGACCTGAAACTCTTAGCCCGTAGAATTTAGGACAGTGGCAGTTTTTATTGTGATTTGCCTTTGAACTTGGTCATATTGACATTCACACTTGAGTTGGAGGGGAAGGTAGTGGCGGTGTGTGAGAGAGCTGAGTGTCCCAGCTTGGTGACCAGCCTGACCTAGAGCAGGTTGACCTTGCATGGCTCTGGGTTGCCCCTGGCACCACTTTCTGGGGCTGATATGTGCCAAGTTTAAGCAGACAGCCATCTGTAGAGTCGGGCTGGGCCGCGTCCAGGGGCGCCCTTGCAGGCCCCCTAATCACACTGTCTTCTCTCCCCCAGACTACAGTGGTAGTGGAGGCCGAAGCGGTGGGAACAGCTACGGCTCAGGCGGGTCATCCTACAACCCAGGGTCCCACGGGGGCTACGGCGGAGGTTCTGGGGGCGGCTCCTCATACCAAGGCAAACAAGGTGGGCCTGGGCAGCACGTGGCACAGCCGGGGGGCCCAGAGGTGCTGTGATGGGGACGTCACGTGGCAGGAGCAGAGCACCATGTGGTGGGGTCACAGTGACAGATCCCTGTGCAAACCAGGTCTGGGGCCATACCAGCTCTTGGGCTTTTCGTTTACAGAAACCAGAGACCAGAAGTTGCCAGACTCAAAAGTGTTGGCTCCTTCAGGTGCCAGTGACAATGAGGGCCATACTGAGTTGTGATGTCGGGTGCAAACTGATGCAGTAGCACGCTCAGGGATCCTGCTTCTGTGACTGGGCAGGTCACCACTTCTGTCACCATCCCAGAAGTCAGGATCGTTCCTCATGTCTCAGGCTGTTGGTGACAGCCAGACCTGAGGACAAGCAGGGGACTTGGCAGAGCGAATCAGAAGCCTGTGGGGCTGCCCTCCTGGGGAGCCATGGTGGCAGGTGGGCCCCCTTCCCCTCCTCTAACCCACCTCTCTCTCGTAGGAGGCTACTCTTCACAGTCGAACTACAACTCCCCGGGCTCTGGCCAGAACTACAGCGGCCCTCCCGGCTCCTACCAGTCCTCACAGGGTGGGTATAGCAGGAACGCAGACCACAGCATGAACTACCAGTACAGATAAAGCCCTGCGTGGGCTGTGGCCTCCGCCTCCTGCACTTCCGCCCGCCCGCCAGAAGATTCAGTTCGACACATCACAGTTACCACGTCAGCCAGCCGGCCCTCCAGGCGCCCCACCCGTCCACGTTGCTGTGTTGTGAGGTGCAGCGGCCCCGGGCCGTGCTGTGACCCCTGTTTAGCCGTGTTTGGGACTCCGTGTCTTCAATGGTTTGTTAGTTGCCATTACAGCCTCGTCTGGGTAGAGTTTGAGTTCTTTACCGTTCAGTATCCCTCTGTCTATTTACACTTGGTGTTAACGTTGACTCGTTTGTCTTGAAATAGTCATGGAAGGGATACGTCATCTGTTAATGCTTTTGTGAAGTGAGTTAAATGAGCTTTCTGTATTTTAATGCTTTAGTGTTTCAGTTTTATAAGTGAAGATTTTATTTTAAAAACCAGTGGGAAAGAGTGGGGATTTTTGTACGTCTGGGTCATTCAGGCAGTATATCTGAGTTCAGCTGAATGTAGACAAATAAAGAAAAAGTAAAGTGCGTGCGCCTCAGGCCTGCGTGTCTGACCTTCCAGCCGGGCTGTTCCTGCCCTCAGAAAGTGAGGTGAGGATGGCAGAATGGCCCCTGGTCACCAGAGAGGGGCTACCTCCCGACATCTTTTCCTGCCAGGGCGGCTCCACCTAGGCATCTTGGCACCAGCTCCTAGGGGTGTCAGGGAGGTCCGAAGTGGCCCTCACTGGCCTTTGGGGTGGGATCCAAAACTGCAGCTCCACCTCATTTCGCCTCCAGGAGTTCTGGTGTCATTTGTCATTTGTAGTGTAATCTCACATTGTGAGATTGTGAGCCACTGCTCTGGTGGCAGGCCTAGCTCACTTGGAATAGTGCAGAGGAGAGCCTGGTGATGTAAGCCCAGACCTGGTCCAGCTGTGCAGGGAGGGCTGGCAGCGCTGTCGCCCGCAGGACACCACAGCCCGAGCCTCGAAGAGCCTCAGGTGGAGAGGTTGGGCTCTTTCCATCTCCGGGTACCTGGACTGAGTAGCAGACTTCCTGGAGCTGAGATTCCACCTCCCGGGGCAGCGCTGCAGTGTTGGGGACCAGAGCGTGCTCCTGGCTTCTGAAGGGTAGAGGCCCAGGCGGCTGCCCGATGTGCAGCATGAAGAACAGCGCCTCACTGCAGGAACTTTGTGGCAAAGCGTGGAGGAAACAGCTGAACCTTGGGCTGCACTGGCCTAGCCCAGCGAAAGGAGCAGTGGTGGCGGCATCACTCTGCTGGCATCTGTCTGGGAAGAGCCTGTGTGTCCTTGGCGCACACTGCCCCAGCTACCCCAACCTCCGAGACCTGGGCAGCTGCTGCTCTGCACCCTAGGCGCTCTTGGCCTCCCCACTGTGGTGACCTTGTGTGTCGGGAGAGGCAGGGACCGTGTACGAAGAACTCCTCTGCTACCACGGGGCAGGTGAAGACGCCTTGCTGAGGGAAGAGCTTGCACTGAAGCTCCGGAGGATGATGCGCTCCGCTACTGGGGAGAGGTGGGAAGAAGAGGTGGCCTACAGTGACGACGTTTGGGTGGCCGGTGGGTGCCACAGGACCCCCTCCAAGGCACAGTCATGGAGGGATGGGTCCCAACTCTGATTTTGATGAACTGAATTTTTTTTTTTTGATGATGATGATGATCTGCAATTTCATGAGTCTGTGATGAATTGTGATGAGTCTGGTCCACCTGTGGATACTTGGAGGGCCAGGACAAGAAGAGACTGGTACTGTGTTGGAAGCAAGAGGACACCAGAGTGGGTAGCCTGTGTCACTCGTGCACAGGGAAGAATGAGAAATGTCTACATGACTCCCTGGCCAAGCGCTGCCCAGCAGCTGTCGTCCGCACCAGCTTTCCCTTAAAACAGCATTCCTGAGTCACCCTCACGTTCAACCAACTGCAGCCCCAACCTGAGGGCTCCCACCCACCCGGTCTTCCAGGCATCGAAGAGCTGGGGAGTATGGCATCCTTGGCATCCTGAGCTGGTTTGGGGACCTCACTGGTGCTGAGGGTCCTGCATTGTCCCAGCCCTCTGGACCTGCCAGGCCAGCAAGCTGGGGAGCTTTTCTGCCTCTACCAGGAGCAGCTGGCAAGAGTGGGTTTGCAGTGGAGGCTCCTTGGCCAAGGTCAGGGTGGTTTAGGTAGATGGTGTCCTGTGCCTGGAGTCACCGCAGAGGCCCCAGGAGGGGCCTGGGAAGAGCTCCAGGGTGGGGCTGCACTCACCACAGAAGGCACAGGATGGATGCCTGGGAGCAGAGGAGGGGGAGAGAAGACCAGCGGTCTCTAGCTGAGGTGATGTTAGGGACGGGGAGCAAATGATGTGTATGTGACATGACAGAGGGCACAGGGTTTCCAACTCCCTGGTTAAGCAGTGCCCGTGGGACCCTGATGGACTTCCGGGCCAGGGGTCCCGGACCCGACCTGGGAGTCCTCGCCCAGTGGCCTGATGAGCCTCTGCTGTGGCTGGGGAGTGGCATTTCCTCTACAGTGCTGACCCTTGTGCCACTGGCAGGACCTGGCCCTCAGAAGTCACCCGGGCCTGACTGCAGCCAGTGTCGGGCTCCACGTTCACTTGCACTTCACTTGCGCCTGAGACCTCTGGACACGGCAACAACGCAGCAGGCCTTAGGCTCAGATGCTTCCTCTAACCCATCCCATAATAAACACTTATGTGTGTGTCTCATTGAGTCACCGTGTGTGTATTCAGTGGCGCTTAGGTGTCTGGTCCTGTGCTGGGAATATAGCAGTAAACATGGTACCTGCTGGAAGAGGGGTGTCCCAGCATCCGTCCACCCGAGCGGGACAGGATGGTGGGGCGGGTGAGGGAAGGGTGTGCATGGCCCGGAGAACAGCTCGCTGGCAGGTGCACACAGGTTTCCAGGAGCTGTGGTGAGGTGGGTGAGGATTTCTTTTTTCCTGTGGTGCTGGGGATTGAGGATTCAGAGCTGGCCAGACCAGGGCTGCAGGGCAGAGGAGTGCGTGACCCAGGCGAGAAGGGAAGCGGGGTTGGCAATCCTGGAGTCCCCAGTCCAGTCACGCACAGGCAGACCTATATCCAAGCCGCGTTCGTGGAGACTTCCTCAGGTTCGGTCTCTAAACACCCCTCCAAACCTCTAGCTAGTCCCAAATCCCAAGGCCTCCTGGTGCGGTGCTCGCTGCCTCTTTCTGCCCAGTAAACAGCTAGCTCCCCAGGATGCACCGCCCTGCGGACTCAAGCCGACTTTGTCACTGACCGACCATTAAACTCATTGGGACACTTGAAGGTCCCGCCTGGTAAGGCGTATCCTGAGCGGAGAGCACGCAATTCCTAGCAGGGTTCTCCCGCAAGCCACGCCTCCCACACGGCAAGCCCCCGGGTGCGCAGAGGGCGCTTGTAATAGGACGTTTCTGCAGGCTCCACCCTCAGACTTTCGCGTCCTGGGTCTCCAAGTAACGTATGTGGCGCTGTCCGTTGTCCTGAACCCGTGCTTTCCTCGCCCCTTCCAAGTACAGGCTCAGGGCGCCCCCAGCTCTCGCATCTGAATCACACTAACTCGGATGATGCCACTGAGCCTCTGATTCGCCCTCTCCACCGTTTCATTTACCTCTCGGTGACAGATAGAGCTCATTTCCCTCCTCCCTCTAAAAACTGTCCATCCTCCCATAAGCGAAACAGCCCCGCGGATGCAGGGACCTCGAGGCCCTCCTGACCTCTCGTGTTCACCGCTCACCTCTATGCGGTCATCTCTTTCCTCTAGCCTCAACCCCTCCAGCCACACTGCCCTCCTCGTTGCACTGCATTCTGCTTAACAGACATCTCGCAATGCCTCCTCCCTGGTCTACCTGCCGCCGTCTGTCTCTTTTACTCCTCGAGGGCATGGCTTTTGTTTGTTCATTCAGGGGGCATTCATGTTTGTTCACTGTATGTTCCTAAGCGTGTTTGGCTTTTTTGTTTTTTTTGTGTGTGTGTTTTTTTTTTGAGACAGTCACCCTATGTACCCCAGGCTGGTCTCCAACTTGTGATCCTCCTGCCTCAGCCTCTCAGGTGTTGGAATTACAGCTGTACACAAGTATCCCCAGAAACCTGTGCAAATTCACGATGATTCTCAGCCTCATTTTTTTTTCAGCACTGGAGATTGAATCATAACTTTGGGAGACAGGGTCTCTATGAAACCCAGGATCGCCTCAGACTCTTGATCCTGCTAGTATTGCAGATGTGTACCCCCACAGCAGTTAATCAGCAAAAGTGTAGTGGCCACGTGCCTGGTATATAATAGAGAACCAATCAACTGTAACTGTTACCATTCTTCCTATTACAGTTAATGGTTATGAGATTATTTACATAAAGTGTGATTAGTAGAGGTCAATGAAATATATATAAGCAGAAAAAAGTTATCAAAAAGATGTTAAGGACTGGGGTGACACTCAGGGTCTGGTAGATGGTTAGCATGTAAGATACTATGGGTTCCATCCAGTAGTAAGATACATATTGCAGTGGAGGGTTGTACCCCATGCATCAGGCATGCTGTGCAAGTGCTCTACCACTGAGCCACACTCCCACCCCCACAAAACGTTATTTATAAGAAAGTGTTGAGAATATCATGTACACACAGTTAAGTGTTTCTTTTTTAAAATTTTTTCAAGTGTTTCTTATAGACATGATGGGATTAGAAAACACAATAATAGGTCAAGTGTGGTGCAACATGTATGTAATTCCTACACTCCAGGAAGCTGAGGCAGGAGGATGACAACTTCAAGTCCAGCCTGGGTAACTTAGTGACTCAGCCAGAACTTGACTCAAAAGAAAAAAAAAAAAAGCTGCGGATGTAGCTCACCTCAGTGCAAAGGCCCTGGATTCAGTCCCCAGTGTTGATAAATAAATAAATAAATAAATAAATAAATAGTTTTTGGAAGCAGACCTGCTAGAATTGGCCAACAAATCAGATATAGAAGGTGAGAGACATTCTCAGTGAAGGAAAATACATTGACAATTAGAACACTTTGACCTACTCAGCTTCAAGATTTTATGTTGTTTTTATATGCAGTTGTTTCAGGATAGAAGCTGGTTTTATTGCCAGGTTCTTCTTAAAACTTTTTTTTTTTTTTTGTACTGGGGATTAAACTCAGGACCTTGTGCTTTCAAGGCAGGTTTGGCGCCACTGAGCTAAATCCCCGGCCCCAAGAGGCTTTTAAAAAAAAGCATATCTGGAGTTGTGGGTGTTGCTCAGTGCAAGGTAAAGCACTGGTCAAGCATGGGGGAAATGCTGGGTTAGATCCCCAGCACCGGCAACAAAATAAAAAGTATCAGTTCTCTACGTGATATGACCTAAAGCAGTGTTTTGGTTTTGGTTTGTTTTGAGACAGGGTCTTGCTTTGTAGCTTAGGCCGACCTTCAACTCACTATGTAGCCCAAGCTCACCTCAAACTCATGGTGATCCTCTTGGCCCAGCCTCCTGAGTTTTGGGATTACAGGTAGGCACCACCACACCAGGCATTGGGGTTTTCTTAAGACTGGATAGAAATGTAAGGTGTTGTGGTGCACCCCTGTAATACCAGCTTTTGGGAGGCTGAGGCAAGAGGATCGCTGCGACTTCGAGGCCAGCCTGGACTTCTTAGTGAGTTCAAGGGAGAGAGATGTCAGAATTTTCTATAGTTAAAAATACTGGGGAATGGGTTGGGATGTAGCTCTGTGCTAGTTTGCCTAACATGCATGAGGCCCTGGGTTCAATCCTCAGCACCAGACACACATACAAATATAATAATTTTAAAAATACTGGGGGGCCAGGGATTTAGCTCAGTGGCACTGCGCCTGCCTCACAATTGCAAGGTCCTGAGTTCGATCCCTGGTACCAAAATTAAATAAATAAATAAATGAAAAATAAAAATATTGAGGAAGCCATACATGGGGAATCCAGAGGAGGAATATTTCAGAGAAAGACCACAGTAAATTGCAAAGGCTTGTGATCAATCTCCTGGCGGGATATTTTGGAGGCGTTTCCTCAGCGATTGTTCCAGCACCCTGAGAACCTGGCAGCATTAGCCGTTTTTATGTAATGTTTGAATTGAAGGTTCCAGGGAGCTAGTAGTCCTGCCCACAGCAGCCCAGTTTAGGACAGCTTTCATCTCAATGCAAGTGTTTTGGGGCAATGGCGCTCTCTGCTGGCCATGATCAGGTCCATTTCTAATAATATCGATTATATTTTATGTATTATTATTAATGGAACACACCTAGAGTTCGATAATCCGTGACTCAGCCTGCCTCAGTCCCACGCAGCATGCAGGCAGGTCCAGTGGGGATTTATGTATAGGTGTACACTGAATGAATGAACTCATAAATGCAGACAGGCTCTGGGGCTCAGCCTTCCCTGTATACCTGGACTCCTTTCTTTCACAGAATAAACTAATGATTATTGATCATTTGCTATGTGCTATAGGTTCTGCTCTAAGCTCTTGGGAAGGGACAACGGATGAACAAGATAAGACAAAATCCTTTATCAGGCCCTGTGTAAACCTATGTAGTACCGGCGCTCTTCTCATTAAATCTGTACAGCTCTCTGTAATCTCTGTAAATCTGTCCTTATGTAGGGATGCTATAATTTCCAGCACTTTAGGCAGTAGAAAATTATGGTTCAGTGAGCCTTTCAATTGTAGATCGAAAAGTAGCGCCGATGAAATTTGTAGGTAGCGTTTGCTGTGGAAGAACTGGTCGCCTCGCTCGGATCAGTACGTAAGCGTAGGTTGCCATGGTTCCCAGACGCTCTCCGGGGCTTCGACCCGCCCCTTTTGTCATGTGACCACAAACAACATGGCGCCGCCCACGGCGTTCCGTGTTTCACGTGGTTCCAGGAAGCAAGATGGCGGCAGGGGCTGCTGTGCCGACTTCTCTGGAGTCCGCCCCGCGGATCATGCGGCTGGTCGCCGAGTGCAGTCGCTCCAGGGCCCGCGCGGGCGAACTGCGGCTGCCGCATGGACCGGTGGCCACTCCCGTGTTCATGCCAGTGGGCACGCAGGCCACCATGAAGGGGATCACAACCGAGCAGCTGGACGCCCTGGGCTGCCGCATCTGTTTGGGAAACACCTACCACCTGGGGCTTAGGCCGGTGGGTGGGCCTTGGCCTGGGAGGGCGGCGGAGTATGACATAGGGGATCCCTGGGCTTTGACTCTGAAAGTTTAAGAAGAGAGAGGGGCGTGGAGCACCCCGGGACGCCCTGGCCTTAGGCTAGGCGCTGTGCAGTTGCCCGGATTGAAGCCAGCCAGCTCCGTCCCCAGCACGAGATCCCAGAGTCCCGCTCACCAGAGACCACTTTCCTGCCCCAAACCAGGGCCCTGAGCTGATCCAGAAAGCCAACGGTCTCCATGGCTTCATGAACTGGCCTCACAACCTGCTGACGGTGAGTGGTGTGCGATCGGGAATCCAAAGTGGTTACAGTCTGCAATCCCAGCATTCAGGAGGCTGAGGCAGCAGTGTCTCCGCTACTTTGAGGGCAGGATGGGTCACATAATGAGTTCAAGGCCAGCCTGAACTACATAGCGAGATCTTGTCTCAAAAAAATAAAAAATAGGGGCCGGGGATTTAGCTCAGTGGTTCCGCCTCCTGCCTCGCAAGCGGAAAGTCCCAAGTTCGATCCCTGGTACCAAAAAAAATTTAAAAAAACAAAAACAAAAACAAAAAAAACAAACCCTAGTGGCGCTTTTCTGGGGTGAAGAGCCCAGCATCCTCATTGCATGACAGCCTTGTGGGGTTTCTCCCAGGACAGTGGCGGCTTCCAGATGGTGTCCCTGGTGGCTCTGTCTGAGGTGACGGAGGAGGGTGTCCGATTCCGGTCCCCTTACGATGGTGAAGAGACCCTTCTGAGCCCGGAGAGGTCCGTGGAGATCCAGAACTCCCTGGGTGAGCGGATAGGAAAACACCTCCTTCCTTCCCCTAGGGTGCAGGCCCCTCCTTCCTTCCCCTAGGGTGCAGGCCGAAGGGCCCTGCACCCTAGGGACCACAGGTTTCAGGGAAATGAATCAATGTGGTTAAATCTATTAGCACAGTGCCTGATATATCGTAGCTCGCCCCTTCCTTCCTTCCTTCCTTCCTTCCTTCCTTCCTTCCTTCCTTCCTTCCTTCCTTCTTTCCTTCCTTCTTTTTGGTACTACAAAGTGAACCCTGAACAAAGATACATTTTGCATACATTTTTGTATAAAAATGTGTTCAGTAAACAATGCCCTTCTCATTCTTGTCCCCCATGCATCTAGTTCACTGTTAGGTCAGCCTTTACTGGGTTTTTTTTCCTTTTTTTGTTTTTAGAGACAGGATCTCAGCTCTATAGCCCAGGCTGCCCTTGAACTCTCTTGATCCTCCTGCCTTGGTACCCCAAATACTGGAATTACAGGTGTGCACCACCACACCTGGCACATTCTGAGATTTTCTTCTGTGTAACAGAACAAGATTTATATTGACTTTGTATGGGTGTGTGTTTGTGTGTGTGTGTGTGTGTGTGAGAGAGAGAGAGAGACACACACACACACACACACACATACCAGGGTCTGAACCCAGGGGCTTTTCACAGGCCTTAATTTTTAAAATTTTGAGAGACCCTGAATAGTTCACTAAATTGCCCAGTGTGTTAGTCACTTTCCCATCACACTGGGACAAAATACCTGACACCCACACTTAGAGTATGAGAGATTTGTTTTGGCTTATAGTTTCTGTGGGTTCAGTTTATGTTTTGTTGGCTCCAAGGCAGAAACAGCAAGGCATAGGAGTGTAGAAGAGGACAGCTGTTGAACCCAGGGCAGCTGGGTAGCAGAGAGACAAGGGAGGAGCCAGGGAGAAGGTCAGGCCCTTGTGATCCTCCTCTTCAGACCAGGTTACATCCCCTAACAACACTTTCAGCTTTGAACGCATCATTTTTTTGGTACTGGGGATCGAACTTAGGTCCTTGCGCTTGCAAGGCAGGCACCGAAACCACTGAGCTAAATCCCTGAACTCATTTTTTGAGACAGGGTCTCACCATGTAGTTCAGGCTGGTCTTGAACTTGCAATAATTGACCTGCATCAGCCTCCTGAGGGATGGGATTACAGACACAGGCCCCTGCGCCTAGTTTAGATGCCCATTTTTAAAAGCTCTCTCTGAATCCCAGAGTTTGGGAGACAGAGATAGGAAGATTGAGAGTTCGAGGCCAGCCAGGGATTGAACTCAGTGGTGCCGTACCTGCCTTGCAAGCAGCAGGTCCTGAGTTTGATCCCTGGTACTGAAAAAAAAAAGAGTTCAAGGCCAGCCTGAGCTAAGTTCATGGCTAAACTGGACTACATAGTGAGACTCTGTTTAAAAAACTCTCAGGCTGCTTCCTAAGTAGATTGGGACAGCTCTATGGGGGTCAGCAATGCCTGTGAGGTACCTGGGGCCATCTTGACCCCCCCCCCCCAGAGGTGGATATCCTCCCGGTGATGGTACCCTGTCTTGCTGTCAGGCTCAGACATCATCATGCAGCTGGATGACGTGGTCAGCAGCACTGTGACTGGCCCGCGTGTGGAAGAGGCCATGCACAGGTGGGCAGAAGTGGGGAGGGCATTGGGTCCCGCAGGCTTGTCCTCCTCCCCTAGGGGCTGGTGACCAAGGCCCCATTGCAGGTCCGTCCGCTGGCTGGACAGGTGCATTGCAGCCCATCGGCAGCCCGACAAGCAGAACCTCTTCGCCATCATCCAGGGCGGGCTAGATGCGGACCTCCGGGCCACTTGCCTTGAAGGTAAATCCGAGGGCAGAACCAGGGCTTGTTTCTCATTGGGGGCCAGGAGTGAGATGCTGATTGGGCAGTGGTTGTTAAAGGGTAAAGCATGGAATGGGAATAATCTTGATAGCTTATGCCATTTGGGTGTTGTGCCTTAGTTTTCTTCTTCCTCCTGCTCTTCTTCCTTTCCCTCCTCTTCCCCTTTCTTTTTTTTTGGGTGGTAATGACAACGTGGCAGTGGAACCCAGGGCTGTTGTACTAAGCTACATCCAAGCCCTATTTAAAATTCTATTTTGCCCTAAGCTACATCCCCACTCCCTTTTAAATTTATACTGCTGAATTGTTGAGTTGCTCAGGCTGGGGTTGAATTTGAGATCCTCCTGCCTCAGCTTTCTGAATGCTGGGATTACAAGTGTGTGTCACCATGCCCGGCTCTCATGTACTTTAATGACCATTGTCTTGCAAGCAGGAAGCAGAATGGTTATAAGGATGGTTTTGCATATCATCAAGTCAGGAGTTCCTAAGTCACATCACACTATGGTAAGGTGGGACCATCTGTGACCTAGAGATGACCAAGAGGGATGTGCCAGGCTTCGCCATCGGTGGCCTGAGCGGTGGTGAGAGCAAGGTGCAGTTCTGGAAGATGGTGGCGCTCAGCACGTCTAAGCTGCCGAAGGACAAGCCCCGCTACCTGATGGGGGTCGGGTATGTTGAGGGAAGAAGACCCTGCTTATGGGGAGCAGATTTCTGGGCACCCCTTACCCTGCATGGGGGTGTGTATGGGGGGCAAGGACACAGCCTTGCTGTAGGGGAACCGAGGAGGACACGGCTGTCTCAAGGTTGCCAGGGAGGGCACCTAGGAAGCCCACCCCAGAGCTTCAGCCTCTCTGCTGCCCTCCCCCACACCTGTACCCCCAGCTATGCCACTGATCTGGTGGTCTGCGTGGCTCTTGGATGCGACATGTTCGACTGTGTGTACCCCACACGAACTGCGGTGAGGGCCTGGGCAGTGGACCAGGGGAGGGGGGGGACAGGGAGCCCAAAGATCCGGATGACCCTCTCTCCCCTTCCCTTTCCCACCCCCAGCGTTTTGGCTCTGCCCTGGTGCCTACTGGGCAGCTGCAGTTGAAGAAAAAGCAGTATGAGAAGGACTTTGGCCCCATAGACCCAGAGTGCTCCTGCCCCACTTGCAAGAGGTAGGTGATAAGGTATGCACAGCTAATCCCAGCACTCAGGAGGCTGAGGCAGGAGGACCTTTGAAAGTTTGAGGCCAGCCTGGGCTACATAGTGAGTGCAAGGCCAGCCTGGACTACTTAGCCAGACCCTATCTCAAAAAACAAAATGAAAAGGTGATGAAGTTGGGTGCTGAGGGGGCCGGGCTGGTCCTTGCTCACCAGCCACCTCCTGACCCACAGGCACAGCAGGGCCTTCCTGCACACCCTGCTGCACAGCGACAACACGGCCGCCTTGCACCACCTCACTGTGCATAACATTGCCTACCAGGTGGGCAGGTACAGGTCGGGGGGGAGGTCCCCGGCGCCTGGCACCAATGCTGACCTTGGGCCCCTGCAGCTGCAGCTGATGAGCGCCATCCGAGCCAGCATCGTGGAGAAGCGCTTCCCTGACTTCGTGTGCAGCTTCATGAACACCATGTATGGGGACCAGACCCTCTGTCCCCCTTGGGCCACCGAAGCCCTGGCCTCTGTGGGCATCACACTGAGCTGAGTGGGCTGCTGGAGGGAGCTTGGGGTGGAAGATACTGAAGGATCTTTTTAAAGGTCTTTTAAAAAAATATTCTAACTTAGCATGTGTTGTCTGAGTCTTCTTGGGGAGGTGGCCTGTGTGGGCTCCTTAGCGATCTGAGCATCACTGTGGTTGGATGTGGCCCTTCCTGTTGATAATAAGAAGTAACGGAGTCACTCTGGGAGGCTGAGGCAGGAGAGTTGCAAGTTCGAGCTCAGGCTGGACAACTTAGTTACATAGAACCTATCTCAAAACAGAAAATTTTTTAAAAGGCTATAGAGATGTAGATCGATGTGAAGGTTCTGGGTTTTATCCCCGGTTTTGATGAAAGAAAGAAAAGGAAAAAAAAAAGAGAAGTAATCATCATAGCACCTTGTAACTGGAAGCCACCTGTCACAGCCCAGCGTGTAGAACATGGTCTCAGAGTGGGTGCTTTTTCCTCCACCACCCTGGAGTGAGCACTTGTGTCCTCCCCTGCAGACAGCTGAAGAAACAGGTCTAATTAGCGGAAGTAGCTTGCTTAAGGTCACCGCCGGAGAGTGGCAGCTTGTCTTTGGTGTTCTTGTTCTTAGCCTGGATTCTTCAGACATGTGGCCTCCTCTGCTCTCAGTAAATGCAGTCACCAGGTGCCATGTGGCTTGTGGTCACACTGGGACTACTTTTGGGGGGCGTGCTTTAAATAAAGTTCAGGCTGGCCTCAAACTCATAGCGATCCTCCTGCCTCAGCCTCCCGAGTACTGGGATAACAGGTGTGGGTCACCATGCCCGGCTAATTTTTTTTTTTTTTTTTTGATACTGGGGATCAAACTTGGGACCTTGCTGCTTGTGAGGCAGGCGCTGGAACCACTGAGCTAAATCCCCGGCCCCTTCGCCCAGCTAATTCTTGTAACATAAGGATGTGTGCATAGCATTGTGTTCATTTCAAGACACACCTCAGGTTCAGAAGTGTGAAGTCACTTGGTCCTCTCAAATGTCAGGCTGTTCAAGCTCCTGTAACAAAATACCATGAAACGATGAGAGTGCGCCCTCAAGTTCAGCTATCTTTTTGCTGCCTTCTTCTTCGGTATGAGGGGAAGGGCAGCTACCTGGGGTCTCTTATGAGGACACTGCTTCCCTTTATGAAGGCTGTGCCCTCTTGCTGTAATCACTCCCTCCAAACCCCATTACATCGAGGGAGGGGGGTTAGCTTTCAACATAGGAATCATCAGGGATCAGATATTTTCAGACCATAATACCCAATAAACAGGCCCAGATCCAAGTACACTCAATGTGAACCATTACAGAGCTGGTGTCCCTAAAAATTAAGGCTTTATTTTTTTGATCCTGGGGATTGAATCCAAGACCATCACATTGAGTTACATGCTCAGTCCTTTTTAAATTTTTTTTTTTTTCAAAGATCTCATTAATTCACCAAATTTTGCAGGGTGGGCTCACATTTGTGATCATCCTCCCTCAGCTTCCCAGAGTGCTAGGAATTACAGGCGTGGACCCATCTAGCAAAACTAAGACGTTTGAAATTGAAGAAATAATACCTGTTGGAAGCACAACTCAAATAGCAGAAAAAGTGTAAATACTCATACGAATTTGTCTATTCTTCCAGAAATTTTCCATGTGTACACAGTTTTTCACGAATGTCTCCGGCCTGAACTGCATTAGTTCTGCTCCTCACCCTGCTCCCTGCTCCCTATCAATTCATTTCTGCTCAAGAGTTCCAGATTCCAGAACCTCCAAGGTCTGCAAAACAACGTGTTTTTACATTAGGAATCTGATCCGTTGATTTTCACTGGTTACTGAAAAAGATCCGTGCTGTGCAGGCAAACAATGCAGGAGCTTTAGCCTCATCAATTCCATACACAAGCCTATGGCGCGCCTCATTGGCCAGGGGTGACTTTAGGGCTCTTCCGAGGAAGCAGTAGTGTTGCCTGACTGAAGTCGCTTTGGGATCCTGCTCCCACCTCCGGCTTGTAGAACTGGAGCCAAGATGCATTCTGGAACCTGTAGTTTTCTCTAGAGGCCGAAAACTCAGAATTGACAATCATTGAGTTCTACCACGAGGTGTCGCCCTTCGGCGAGTACGATGGATCTTATCCTCTACCTCAGTAGACTGTAAAACAACAATCAGTAATGAAAACGGGCATGTTTACGGATTGACAAGTACAACTCTCAATCAGAGTCAAAGTTCGGATGTTAGAGCCCACCCTCTTTTGTCTTACTGGCTGGAGGCACGAAGTGATATTTATATAGGCCAATGGGAAATATTTAGGGAACTAGGTAGTGGCAAGTGACAAGCCCGTGTTGAGAGCTCGATCCTTAATCTGATTGGTCAGTTTTTTTGATCGGCGTGGATTTCGACCAGTAAGGGTGGCTCTTCCTGTTGGGTGGAGCCAATGTGTCTCTTCCCGAAACACCGCCTCCCGGCCTTGACAACTCACTTTTCCACTGCTATTGGCTGTTGCATAACAGTGATAGTTCTTCTACCCAATGAGCTCCCAGAGCTTTCCGCAGGGGGAAGGCATACTGAGCCATAGGCCCGTACTTCCCTTTCATTGGCTTACGTGTAGGAGCGGCAGCGTGACCGACCAATTAGTGTCAACAGGAGGCGTTTGGGTGCATCCCCGCCCGGGGCGGGAGGTCGCTCGGGTCGGGTGTCGCCTGAGAACCGGATGAGGCGGCGACTGTGAGGCCGAGCCGGGAGCGGGTGTCGGAGCGGGTGTCGCGTCGAAGCCCGGGCCGGAGGGGAGCAACGGCCACAGACACTGCGGGCCCGGGTCGTTGAGGGTCGAGGGCGGGCGGGGAGCGCTGGGCGCTCCGGCCGGGCCTGCCGGCGCCATGGGCAACCGCGGGATGGAAGAGCTGATTCCGCTGGTCAACAAGCTGCAGGACGCCTTCAGCTCCATCGGCCAGAGCTGCCACCTGGACCTGCCGCAGATCGCCGTGGTGGGCGGCCAGAGCGCCGGCAAGAGCTCGGTGCTCGAGAATTTCGTGGGCCGGTGAGCAAGCGCGGCAGGACTCCGGGCGGGCGGCGGCCTAGGGCGCGGAGGGCTGCCCGGGAATGGCGCACCCTGCGCCGCCGGCGTAACTGCGGCGCCTGCGTGCCCGCGATCGGGACGGGACGGGACGGAACGAGGACGGAGAGGCGGGTCCTGTCGCACTCCCTGCGCGGAAGGTTCCCTGCAGGGGCTGGGGCGCAGACCCAGGCCCCGGGACGGGAGTCGCATAGGCTGAGCAGCTTGGGACCGGAGATGCTGAGGAACCCCGCTGTGTATCCGGTCTCGGGTTGCGTGGGGGAACTCTCCCATCTGGTTGCCTGAGGGTCAGGCATATATCGCCCTGTGCCTGTGTCTGTCTGTCCGTCCATCACTGGCGGAACCTGCCATCTAGATTATCTGTTTGAGCGACCCCTGTGGAGTGGCTGGCGGTTCCTATATCTGGAGCAGCCCACCGCGTCTGGTTGGCCGTCTGGCCTCGTCACCACCACCCTTTGGCTGTCTATCTGTCCCAACCCACTCCACAGGCAGCCCCCTTGCTGTCTGGCTTGCTGTCCAGGGTGACCTCTGCTGTCCCGCCACCCATCTGTGCCCCTCACGGACCAACATTTAACCAGTCCCTGGCTCTGGCTGTCCTCACTGGCCTCTGCCAAGTGACTGCTTGGGCTCTAGCGATCTCTGGTTCTCCTAAGCTGACTTCAGCTTCTTCCCTACCGCAATTTGGCTCTTTCTTCAAAGTGAATCCTCCTGTCTGCCCTGTGTCAGCTCATCACTACCTCAGCAGCTCCGGACTATTTGCCCCAATCCCTCTGGCAGAGGATGACAGGAGGGAGGAGAGAGGGACCTGAAGGACGAAGTTTGCACTCGGTTCCCTGGTTCCCTCTGGAATGAAGTAGCACCCTGCTGGGAACTTTGGCCAGGATTTTTCTCACATCAGGAGTCTGGCCCCCAGCTAGAGCTTCCAACGTGGCCACCCTTCTTGGAGCCTGGGAACGGACGTCTTGCTTGATAGGGCTCAGAGTCAAGAGCTGGGCTGGAGCCTTCCTGGGCATCTAAACCAAGAACCCCACTGTCTCGTGGGCAAGTTCTAGGATTCAGGAAGTGAATGAGTGAGAACCGCTGCCACCAAGGGACATTGATTCACCTCTCCCCTCCCCCTCACTTCTTGCCTTGGCAGCTCCCACAGGGGTGGCCACTTCTCCATTCCAGGAAGTCCTCAGTCTGGAATGGTGTGTCCACATCTGATAATATCCTCACTGCTGTCCAGAGTCATCATTATTGTTATTGTTGTGCTTAGCATTGTTATTATTGTTAACAGTTGTAAGGGGAATTGTTCATCCAGCTGGCTCAGGCCCCACTCTGTGGGTTCGTGTCCTTGGTGTGTGTGTGTGTGTGTGTGTGGCTTTTTGAGACAAGGTTTTGCTATGTATTCCAGGCTGGCTTTGCACTCACTCTGTAGGCCAGGTTGGCCTTGAACTCTTGGGGATCCTCCTGCTTCAGCCTTCCAAGTACTGGATGGTAGGACAGGATGAGCTGCTTGGATTCCTTGTCTTGCATCCCACAGTGAGTGAGTGGGGTGGAAGTTCTGTTGTCCTCTGGCACCTTAGAGATGGGGGGGGCTCATAGAGGACTTGTCACCCACCCAGCCCTAGTTCTGCCCTCCTGGAGGCCTGGAATTTCCTCCTTTGCTTCCTTGTCTCCAGCAAGTAGCTGTCTTTCTTTTGTGGCTGAAAGGTGTGGGTCTGGGGCCAGACTGGAGGCCCCTCTGCATGGCCGTCTTTCTTCCTGTCTAGGCTTCTGGCGTTTCATTTAAACAGCTCACCCACAGAGCTGTTTAATTTACTTTGTGATCTTGCACAGGTTGTTTGACCATTCTGAGCCTGTTTTCCTTCCTAAAAACTGAATGACGGTCTGTCACTAAGAATGTTGGAAGGATGCTGTGAGACAGCACATTGAAAATGCTTGCTGTAGCCTGGTGGGGTGGCATGCACCCATAGTCCCACCTACTTGGGAGGCTGAAGCAGGAGGATCGCTTGAGCCTGGGAGTTTGACTCAGCCTGGGCAACACAATGAGACCCTGTCTCTTAAAAAAAAACAAATGCTACTTAGCACAGTGCACACACTAGGTCTCGAGTTGAGGCCATTATTCACCCCGCTGGTTTCTTTCATGTCGGGGGCAAACACAAACTAGAATTAAAATGCTCTCCAGCTGTGCATCAGACTTCATTTAAAGCTTACCAGGGTGGCACTGGGATGATCCCCAGGCCTCACCTTGCCTCCATCCCCTGCACCCTCCGTTTGTACACCTGCTGCAGGCCAGAGATACTAATCTGGCACCTGAGGTGCCTCCTCCCAGAATCCTGTAATGCAGAAATGGTCATTAAGGTCATCAGTTCATCCAGGAAGCCAAAGTTGTAGGAAAATTTTATTTCTTTGTGGAACTAAAGATGAAACGCAGGGCCTTGCACATGCTAGAAGTCAGGCACTCTACCACTGAGCTACATCCCCAGCCTTTTTTATTTCCTTTTGAGAAAGAGTTTTGCTCATTTTCCCAGACTGGACTTGAACTCGTAATCCGTCTGCCTCAGCCTCTTGAATTTTTTTTTTTTTTTTTTTTTGAGACGGGCGTCTCACTATGCAGTTCAGGCTGGCCTTGAACTCACTAAGTAGCCCAGGCTGGCCTTGAGCTCAGCTTCCTCAGCTAGGAACCAGGATTGTTACTAACCTACATGAGCCTATTTCACTCCCTAGGGAGGATGAATTCACTTGGTGCCTATTGCTATGCATTTGTGACATCTTACACAAGGGACTTAATCCCCATTTTCTGAAGTGGGAGTTACAATAATTACACCCTTTTTATGGTTGAGTGGGGATTAAATGAGGCAATTTAGATTGGCTGGGACTTTCTTGGAGAAAGTGCTAAAGCGTTAGGAATTGCTCACTGAGAGTGGTTTTTAGCCCTTGGCAGCACTATTTGACTGTGCCTGGGCTTGAGGCCCTGAGGAAGATATTCAGACCCCCAGCCTTCCAGCAGGGAGCAGATAAAGGAGAAACATGGTAGAAGGTGATAACAGTTATGGAATAAAAGGATAAAGGAGAGATCATAGCGTGAGGGGATCACACTTTAAACCGAGGAGTCAGGTCACATTTGAGTTTGAGTAGAGCCTTGAAGGAGATGAGGAAGGAACCAAGGGAGACTCGGAACAGCATCTCAGGCTGTGGGAGCAGCCAGTGCAAAGGCCCTGGGGTGAAGCCGGTGCTGGAGAGCAAAGGGGCACAGTGAGAGAGGAGTTGAGTGGGGCATAGGGCAGGCCACCCAGGGCTTCAGGGGCAGGGACAGATTAGAGGTGGAGGGTGAGTGGCTGGGGGGAATGTTCTCTCTGGACCTGCTCCTAGGCAGACCAGGGCTTTTCTCCTCCGATTATTCCAGTCAGCAGATTCTGTAAGCACAGAGCGGTGCTCTGCAGCCCAGGCTGGCCTTGAACAGCAGCCTCCTGCCTCAGCCTCCCCAGTGCTGGGATCACAGACATGTACACTGCCACGCCTGGCACTTCTTTTTCTTTTTGGCCATACTAGGGATTAACTTGGGGCCTTTGCACCAAGCTCATCCCCTGCCCTTTTTTTAGTTGGAGACACGGTCTCCCCACTTTGCCAAGTTTGGGTTCAAACTTGTGATCCTCCTGAGTGCTGGGATTACAGGTGTGCACCACCACACCTAGCCCCTAAATTGCATCTTGAAAATGGTATGCAAGGGCCTGCCCTGGTGGTCTCTAGGACCTGGGCCAGGCCCGGGGTGGGGGTGGGGTGTCCAGAGGCATCTGGAGGAACACACTGTCCTGAGGCTGCCACGTACCAAATGAGTGATCTCACTCATGTGAGCCTCAGTTTCCTCATCTGGACAGTGGGACTATGATGCTTTCTGTGTCCTGGGAATGGGGTGAGACTCAAATAAGCTGAACCTATGACACATGAGACAGTGGCCTTTGATGCTCTTGGTGGTTAGCACTGTTTGCCTTTAACCTGGATCAGGACTCTGCTGATCAGTGTTAGTTTTTTTTTTTCCTTAAAGAAATGGAACTCACGATTACATTGTTAATATCAGTAGCACCTCATTTTATCACATATTCCATTTGAGTGCCCATCTGTACAGGCAGTGTTCTGACCAGGGATACAGCTGGTTCCAGGACACACGTAACCCACGCAGGATGTGCTCACATACCACGCACGCATGCACACATGTACAGGCACACATCCTATTCCCCAGTTCCTTTGATGCCAGCTGGAGGTGTTCTTGGTTCCATTCTAAGCGGGATATCCTGGCTGTAAACAAATACTTGGATGTCAGAGTTATTTCCACCAGTTTCACATATGGTGGTGGGAAATTGGAGCAGAAATCCCCAACACTAGAAGATTTGGGCAAACAGTGCATCCAGACAGCTGACTGTGAAATGTGTAGAGACCAAGAAGGAGCCTGAACATTTAATGACCCAGAAAGCTGCATAAGATCCATTAGAACCAGACTGAAGGGGAGGGTGTCCCATCTTGTTCAAAACAGTTGTATTTGCACCTGGCATGGTGGTGCCCACCTGTAATCCCAGCACTGGGGAGGCTGAGGTAGGAGGATCCCCACAAGTTTGAGCTCAGCCCGGGTACAAGGCTAGCCTGGAATAAATAGCAAGACCCTGTCTCAAAAAACCGAAGTAGGGCTGGGGATTCAGCTCAGTGGTTCCACCCCCTGCCTCGCAAGCGCAAGGTCCCGAGTTCAATCCCCAGTACCAAAAACAAAACAAAACCAAAACCAAACCAAACCAGTTGTATTTTTGAAATCAGAAGCCCAGAAAAATGTGTACCACCCTAACTCCCCACATGGGTCATGTCCCGTGTAGTGTTTGGTTTGCTTACTTGCTCACTTTGTGTATAACTAGGATGACAAATAGCAGCTCTGGGCTATTTTTTTTTTTTCCAGAGCTATTTGCCCAGGGCTCGATGGCCCTCACTGGGTA